GTATTTTCAAATCAATTTGATCTAGTGAAAGGTGGGTTTTAGGCTTTTTTAGGTGTGACCTTTTCATGGTTTGTTCTTATTTCCATGCTAGAGTCCTTGGGAGTCTCAACTGTACCAAGAGTTTTCAATCTTGTTGGACCCCAAACTTCAGCCTCTATCTGTTCATCCAATGGAAATAGAAAACTCCAACTTTTCCCCACCCAGTGAGATGGTCCCTCCATTTACTCCAGCTATACTCCCCACACCATTCATGGATAGAGCTAGAGGCAAGTGTGGGCATCTTTCCAGGATTCTCTCCAGAATTTGACCACTCAAATCCTGTCTGCATTGGTTGTTCTTTTATGCCTTTTAATAGTTGGTTTATTTTATTTACACCTCATCAGGAGGGGAAAATCTGCATCTATCTAGAATATCCCCACAGAATTGACCTTAGGTCCCATGGCAGAGATTGCTTAAAAGAGTCAATGATGCCAAGCTCAGTGGTTGAGTGTAGATCCATAAACCAGGAGATTACAGTTGTATTCCTGGTCCAAGCACATGCCCATGTTGTGGGCTCAGTCCCTGGTGAGGGGCATGCGGAAGGCAGCCTATTTATGATTCTCTCTCATCATTATGTTTCTCTCTCTCTCTCTTCCTCTCTGAATCAATCTTTAAAAAAAGTCAATGACAAGAGGAAGGAAACCATGAGACATAGCTTAGATCAACTTGGGCACTTGGGAAGATGGGCATCTGAACCAAATTGAGACTCTGGAAAAAAAGAAAAAAAAAGAATGGGGGATTAGAATTCTAGATAATAAGATCATAATATGCTAATTAGACTGGATGTCCTTCTGGAAGAAGCCGGGGCTGCGAGGGAAGCCTGGGTCCTGGATGTCAGCAGCTGGGAGAAGGAAGGCCAACTCTTACATGAATTTCATGCATAGGGCCTCTAGTTTATTTATAGTGATGGTTTTCCTTACAAGGACTATCACATACTTGGATTGTATGGGATTTGCTACAACCTTAATCTTCTCCAGATACACCCACCTTCTGATTTAGGATCTTTCTTTCTGCCTTGATTCCATTATTTTGCAAGATCTTCTGGATCCATTCTCTAGCTGCCTTTTTATCCTCAATTTAAATGTGAGGCTCCATTGCAAATCATTTTATTTAAAATGAAATATTCTTGCATAAAACCAACATAACATTAAAAAAATTTAATGTATTATAAAATTGAAATGATATTCAATTTTCTTCTCATTATTAATAACTGTAAAATATATTTTAAATTTTTCTATTGGGAGTTTGTAATACAGAAATCTATGTAAATTATTTATAATTAGTTATATGTATAATCTTGTTTTAAACAAATAAACACTTGGCCTTTATAGAATGTTTAAAAAATTACAGAAATGCACAAGGAAGAAAAAAAATTAGCCTCAATCTCAGCATCCTGGAATATACCTTGTTAACTTTTAATAGAATATTCATCTGATATTTCTTCCTGTGTATGTGTGTGTGGGGGGGAGAGAGGGGATGGAGCGTGGAGGTGCACACTCATATAAACAATTAAAATAGTTTTAACATGGTGAGCATTGCATACATTTTCAAAAAACTTTTTGTTTTAATATTTATTAAAATTTTCTTTAAGTTGCAGAGAATGACTACAGTATTAGACCATTGTAAAAGTGATAACTCCTTGATAAATGTTTTAACAATGTCTTTCTCCATTTTAATCATATGACCACATGTCCTAGGAGTTTGAAGGAAAAAAATGAAGATAAATTTTGAGTCAGATCACAATGAAAGCAAACAAGGAATTCAGGAATAATCTGTTGAGTGTCACATGGCCATGTTTTCTACTTCACAGCAAACTTTGAAAAGATTAAACAGTGACATTTGCAGACGGAGCACACAGAGCTTTAAACCCTCCTCCTGTTTTATTTCACCAGCATTTGAAGAGCGTTGGTGGTCTTGTAGAAGAACCTGAATAGAGAGAGGAAATGGCCAGCATCAGGGAATAGCCTAGGAAAAGAAAACATGATTTCCTTTCTTGTACCAGAAAATATAGCTGCTCAGCCAAGATTAGTCTTTCTTGTGCCAAACCATTTATTGGGATATAAAAAGAAAATATTAAAACTTTATTTTTCTTTCTATACTTAAAAAATTCATTTTCTGTATATGTCTTTTATATTATGTTAATACAGTATGATACACACATGCTTTATAAATAAATACTAGTAAGTAGATGTACATTGGGGTTATCTAAAATTTCAAGTGTATTTACACTAAAAATATAAGATATTTTTAAAACACCTTTTTCATAATAGGAGTACACAATCAAAACATTTGGGGATTACTGTTTACCTTCTTTCCAAATCATGTCTTTACTGGCGTTTTGCAAGAGATTTTAAGTAGCTAAGACTCAGATCCTCACTGGAAAAGGCAGTGTTTAAAATGATGTTTTTTATATGTGTTTCTGGCAACTAAACTAATTGTTGAGTAGAGTATAGCTAAGGAAAAAGCCTTCTCCCCTCCCCTTCCTTGCACTAATCCGGAAGGTTCATTCCTTCATTCATCATTTATTTTTATTTGATTTTGTTTTAATACTTTATTGTTTAAAATATTACATAAAGTATTACATACGTCTCCTTTTCCCCCATTGACTTCTCTCTAGTCACCTTCATCCCCCAGCACAAGACCTCATCTCCCTAGTATCTGTGTCCATTGGTTATACTTAGACTTATATGGTTGATATCTTACCCCACCCTTCTCCTCTCCCCTGCCTTCCCTCTGAAGTTTGACAGTCTGTTTGATGCTTCTCTGTCTCTGCATCTATTTTTGTTCATCAGTTTATGTTGTGCATTATATCCTACAAATGAGTGAGATCATATGATATTTATCTTTCTCCAACTGGCTTATTTCACTTAGCATAGTGCTCTCCAGGTCCATCCATGCTGTTGTGATTGGTAAGAGTACTTTCTTTCTACAGCAGCATAGTATTCCATTGTGTAGATGTACCACTTTTTTAATCCACTCATCTGCTGATGGGCACTTAGCCTGGTTCTAAATCTTAGCTATTGTAAATTGTGCTGCTATGAACATAGGGATGCATATGTTCTTTCTGATTGGTGTTTCTGATTTTTTGGGATATATTCCTAGAAATGAGATTCCTGGGTCAAATGGGAGTTTCATTTTTAACTAGACCACCAACTTATATCATACACAAAAAAATAAACTCAAAATGAATAAAGGAATTAAACATGAAATGGGAAACCATAAAAATTTTAGAAGAATCCATAGGCAGCAAAATATCAGACATATGTAGTAGCAATATCTTTACCAATGCAGCTCTTAGGGCAATGGAAACTAAGGAGAAAATAAACAAATGGGACTACATAAAAATAAAAATCTGCACAGAAAAAAAATGAACAAAGCAAAAAAGCCCACTGCATGAGAGAACATATTTACCAATGTTATATCCAATAAGAGCCTAATCTCCAAAATTTATAGGGAATCAAACATCTTAACAAAAGGAAGAGCAACAATCCAATAAGAAAATGGGCAAAGGACTTAAATAGACACTTTACAAGATTGGACATACAGAAGGCCAAGAGACATATGAAAACATCCTCAAAGTCACAAATCATCTAAGAGATGCAAATCAAAAGGACAACGAGGTATTCTCTCACACCTGTCAGAATGGCTATCATCAACAAATCAACAATGACAAGTGCTGGCAATATGGAGAAAAAGGGACCCTCATGCACTGTTGATGGGAAGGCAATTGCTGCAGCCACTGTGGAAAATAGTATGGAGTTTCTTCAAAAAATTAAAAATGGAATTCTCATTTGACCCAGTGATCTGATTCAGCTTTTATTGAATACCGCTCTGTGTAGAGCACAGCGAGGACACACAGGATTAAGACATGATCCAGATGGGAAACTATGGTTCATGTAAAAGTGCGGGGGGTACTCTTAGTTCAGGCTGAAAATGCAGGAAAAGGTTTCCAAGCCGAGGAGAGACCCACAGGCAAGGCAGTGCTGGGTCACCCTGGATAAGGAATAAAATAGAGCCAGAACTATTTGGTCTGTTGGAGGAGGAAAAAAACAAGCTCAAAGGGGCAAGATGCCAGGTACTCAGCGTGATAGAAGGAACAGTAGATTGGACTGGAACAGATAGCATAAGGTTCTAGAATGTCATGCTAAAGAGTCTGAGCAGCAGCTTGTGAGTTATTACCACCCCGCCCCATTCTTACACATGAAGAAACAGACTCAGCGGAGGTCAGTGATAATGTGAGTGTACAGCAGAGCTGGCCCATAATCAAATGATTTTTTACTTACAACTTAGAACTTTTAGGAATATCAAACAAAAATGCCATAAAAATGCTTTTTAAAAAAAACACACCCAACAACACAATATAAAAAATGTTTTTTTTGTGGGTTTTTTTGGATTGTTGATTAATTGTCATGTGGATTTTCCCTGGTTGGGTCGCTCAGTTAGAGCATCTTCCCAGCATGCTCAGACTGTGATTTGACCCAATCAGGATGTATATATATATATATATATATAAAATCAAGCAATGAATGCATGAATAAGTAGAACAACAATTTTTCAGAATTGTTGGAAGGATTATAGATATAAACAACATGTAAAATCTCTGTCACATAGTAGGCACTCAATAAATTGTTGCTATTATTGTTATTTTCTGTTTTAATTTTTTTAAAAAACTCTGTTACAATTCCTGACAAATAGCCATTTTGTTGGACAGAATCTGTGCAATCTGTGAGTCTGTTATATAGCCAAATAGTTTTTCCAACCCTTGTACATTAAAATTAAATACAGAATAATCCTGTAGATATGGATAACTTCAGCTCAGTTGTTTCATAGCTGTGAAAAATATCACCATTTATCTAATAGCTAATGTCAAAATAGGGTTAAAGCAGCATACACCATAGTAGAGCAGTTGGGTTTAAGTAAACCTATCTGTTTCTGCTTAATTCCCTTGACTTTATGATAGAATGAACAGATTTACTAGAAAGCAATCAGGAGGACAATGGCATTGGTGGTGGCCCTGGCAGCTTGGGAAGAATGTGAGCAACAGAATCGGCAGGATTCTTCAGAGGCTGTTCCTGCTCTCCTCTGCCACTCAGTCTGCAGTCTCGGCCCATTTGAGGAGGAATGCTGATGTTACAGCTGTGGCATTTAATAAGAAGCTTGATCCTGTTCAGAAACTCTTTGTGGACAAGGTTAGAGGACACAGAACTAAGCGACAGTCAGCTGGGGGACCTGCTGGTACTGGCCCAGAGCATCAGCGAGTGGAGAAGCAAATGTACGGTATGGCAGACATGACTGTGTTCCCTGACTTCAGACTTGAAGATCCCAAATTGGAAGACATTGAAAAACCCCATGCTTAAAGAAATGTACATTTTTATCTGGTACTTTTCCCTAGAAAAGTTGTACAACTGATCAGAAGTATCAGAATAAACATACATTTCAACCACTGTCAAATAGTCTTTCATTGTAATTCCAAATAAATTATGATGTTGGAGGGCAGGGGACGGGGGAAGGAGGGAGGAAATAATCAATGTGCAATTCTTTTTTATTTTTCCTGTGCATTCTCTCTACCTTCCCTATATATAAGGTGACCAGACGTCCCGCTTTGGGCAGGACAGTCTCGCTTTTTAACAATTTGTCCTGCGTCCCACAGCGTTTTTAAAAAGTCCCAAATTGTTAAAAATCGGGACTGTCCCGCCCAAAGCGGGATGTCTGGTCACCTTAATAGTCCTTCTTAATGCCAATGATTCTTATTGGGTTCTTTACAGATAGCAATGAGGTTTAAGCAGAGTATTACTGCATTCTTCATTCAATGGGGAAATGGATTTGATGGGGACACTGGATTTGGAGTCCCCACTTGGGGCAATGTGGACCATTTAGAAAAAAATTGATAATGCGGCAAACTAAACAATATCTTTAGAGAACTAATCCCTCTCAGAAAAAAACTAGCAGAGTCATTCTTTCGTTTGGACCTTATTTTGTTAGAGACGTAAATCTCAGTTATAAAATCAGCTGAGGATCGATGATTCTCTCTCATCGATGTTTCTAACTATCTCTCTCTTCCTGTCTGTGAGAAATCAATAAAATATATTAAAAATAAAAAAAGAAAAGGGACCGGTTTGGCTCAGTGGACCAAGCGTCGGCCTGCGGACTGAAACGTCCCGGGTTCGATTCCAGTCAAGGGCGTGTACCTTGGTTGCGGGCACATCCCCAGTAGGGGGTGTGCAAGAGGCAGCTGATCGATGACTCTCTCTCATCGATGTTTCTAACTCTCTATCCCTCTCTTCTTCTCTGTGAAAAATCAATAAAATATATTAAAAATAAAATCAGCTGAGAATTCTGCTATGCAACAAAGCACACACTTGTCAGCGTTACCAAGTTTCTGTGCACTCAGAGCATCTTACTCATTCCCCATTCCCTCCGGAATTTCTCGTCAGAGGCCTGAAAGATGTCACTTAATTGGGTTCATGATCCCCATTCTGTTCTTTCCTCTAAACAGTTCTCCTAAGAGTGCTAATTTATGCATTCTGTTTCAGTGGAGGCTTTAACACTAAAGATGTCCATTATTAACAACATAATTTTTGTCACTTATCAGCAAAGTCTCAGCGAGCCAGCCCCCTTCACCTGAAAAGTTCCCTGCTTTTTCGAGCCATTATCCTGCTGATAGCCAGCACTCGCCAATTCTGTGTGCAAACCTCAACCTGCAGGGGCACATTACATCCTCCCCCTCAACTCCCCCTCCCAAACACAAGTTTCATCCTGCTTCATAGTATGTACGTTAGTTAATCCTAAACAGCCCCATCTCTTTTGCCTTTGTATCAGCAACAGTTTCCCCCAAAGTGTTTGCTTTTCTAGTAAAAAGGATTTTTTTTTAATGGAAATATACCATATTGTAAAGGTCTCTTACTTTGTAACAAGAGCCTTTACAGGGGCCCCTTTGAAGTTTGCTGAACCTGGGCCTGTCTCCAGAGTGGGAGGACTCTGGGGTACCCCAGACATAAGCATTTTCTCGCTGCAAGGGAACTGGCAACCTGAGGTCAGGGTGTGGGCCCTGCAGACTCTGCAGCTGAACCCCAATTTGAGCCTGGAGAATGCAGGTGTCTACATAGCTCATTCCATGCTCCATTCAAATGCCACCTCCCTTATCTGACGCCTCTCCTGACCACCCTTTCTGAGGTCATACTCTTTCCGTCCACCTTCCCTGCTTTATTTCCACCCTTAGTTCTCATGACGGTCTAATGTGCCATGCAGTTTGAGAACATGCCCTATGATCGGCCTGCTTTTTAAAACGTAAGCCCCATGATGGCAGGAGCTTTCGTCCTTTTTGTTCTCCCCAGTATCTCTGGCACCTAGAATAGTACACAGTACATAGTAGATGCTCAGCGAACATTGGTTGAATAAATGAGTGCACTGATGAAGACAGAAAGCAAACCCAGGGCCATTTGCTGCCATTCCACACTGCCTGGGCCAAGGACACCCAGCTCAACCTTCTCAGGCAAAGGCCACGTAGTTCTCAGTCACGGAAACTCTACAGACTCTGGTTGTCCCCTGGAAGCCTGAGAGTTGACAGATACGTCTCTTCAGTGGGCAGGGACTTGGCTGGGGGTGCGATGGGTATGTCTTGGTTCTTTATGTGCATAAGTTGAACACATCAAGCTTCATCCTTCTGTGGATACAAATAAGATTATATTTACATTGAAATAGAAACCATAAGGGGCCTTAGCTTCTACCACCTTCCCCTTGCTGTAACTGCAGGGTCTCTACACATCTTCCTCAGTTTACTAGTATTTCTGTTTACATTCTTCCATTTCAGCTCTGCCAAGGCCCTTGCCCGATGTTACTGCAGCCAGTGTCTTCCCCAGGCCCGGCACCTGAGCCACCTTGGAGCTTCCTCTCCGCAGCCCCGCAGATCCTCTGTGGGCTCTGGGAGTGAGGGGGGAGGGCAAGCAACTCTGATTCTCCTCGAGACTTTAGTGACCCCAGTTCTTTCTGGGCCTGGGTCCACACGAGGTTCGGTTTCTGGGCAAACCTTTAGGTTGGTGAGGAGTGAAGACCTTGGATCCTCTGCTCCTCTTCTTCCCCTTCTCCTTTCAGGTGCCCATGCAAAATAACACCCTCACCTCATGCACCCAACCCAGATGTCCCTGTGCAAATGGACACAAGGGGTGGGGCTCTGGAGTTGTCAGCACGGACCAGGGGCCTCCCGTCTCTGGCCTCACAGGACACCTTGTAGCTCTTCCTCATTCTATCCGGGGGTCCCGTAGTGTGGCGGCCTCCTGGCTACTTTTGACTCTTCAGTTCATGGAGGGTCAGGAGGCAATTCTTCCTCCGCCTTCCTGGGAACACAATCCTAGCTTGCTCAAGGGTTTCTGGGACAATCTGCTGCTGACGTCGGTGCACAAAGCCCAATTATTTCTCTCTTTATACACAAACTCACTGAAAGGAGCACAAACCAGCACAGCCCTAATGGATTTAGGGCTAAAACAGTGTTCTTACGCTTCACAAAGAAGAGTTTCCTGGTAGGAAAAAAAAAATCCTGAAGTCATTCTCCCCTGGGATCTTTCTTTACCTACAATATCGAATAGCCCTTTTCATGTCCTTCCATGCGTTTAGACCCCCTCCCTCACCCACACAATATATCACTCTCTATAGGCCTTGGGTGTAAAAACTATGGTTTTTAATTTTTTTTTTTTAAATGCACATCCTTCACAAGAGAATATGCTGTTTTCAGCATCTTTTAATAATTTGGTTGTAGCTAAAAGATGCCTCTTAGATGTAAGCAGTAGAACTAGGAATAGCATTGTCTGCAGGGACCAATGGTTGGTGTCCCACGCTGAGCCGTGAAGCTAGTCGTCCTGGAGTTATAAATCCTGAGCCGGGAGCTCTCAGAGCTGCTCCCAAGGCTGCGGGGTCTCACAGCTGCTCCGGATGCCTCCTCCCTCTGCCTGTGTGACTGTGCACTGGGCCCGCTGAGTGTCCTGTTGCTTCACGCCACTGCTCTGCACACTCACCCTATTTTGCTATAGCTTTAGGACAAACAGAAATTTCCTGAAGCTCCCTACACATGCTACTCTTTGTAAATGGCTCAAAGCTGAGAAAACATTGAAACCAACTGTTCTCGGAGGAAAAAGAAAATACATAGGGTTTGTCCCTGCCAGGAAAAGTGGCACTACACTTTCACCCCGAGGTGCATTTATCCTTTCCTGAGGGCCTGGTTCTCACAGAGCACCAGGGCAGTCTGCCCCACTGGGCCTGCAGACCACTCCGCATCCTCTTATCCCGGAGCCTACAGGCCCCAGGCCAGTTCCAGCTGACGTTCCTAGCTAGATAGTGGCCCGGCCTGTTGTCTTCCAGGCTCCAGGCGAAGTCCACCATTTTTGTAAGTAAATGTTTCTTGTGGAGAGGGTGCTGTAAGGCTACTGCCTCCAGAGTCTGTTTTTCCAGAAAATGGGGACTGTTTTTATTATCAAATGTCTGTTAGCTTTGTGACCTGAAACAAAGTATCACAAAGGTTTGAATGTCGTAAACTTAAAAACAAAAAACCCGCATACTCCAGCATTTTAATAAGTGAAAACGTCAATTTGCAATTAAGGCTCAAATTTTCAATCGCCTAAGTGGCTGACACTGATTCTACTTGGAATCACGGCTGATTTATTTATCCTGGAATCAACGCAATGCCATTATGTCTTGGTGACAACAGAAATAAGCTTTGGCCAGGTCTGTGCATAGTTTGGGGATGAAGAAAATAAGTTTTGAAAGGCAATGGGCATTGCTGATTATAGATTTTTATTAGGAACAGATGTGGAGCTGCGGTTTTTAGTGGTAGACAAACTGTTATTGAAACAAGCAGCTGACTAAGAACCATATAGCTTTTCTTTTCTTTTCTTTTTTTTAGGAAAGAGAAATCTTAAATTAAATTCATAATCTTTTTCTTCAAGAGATGGCCCAATTATCAAAAACAAGCTCTGAGATATTTATTTATGCGTGTGTTGAATAGTGCACAAAAAGGGAACACCATCTTGGTTAATATATCTCTGGGCTGAAGCAGAGGCTTAGAAAGTGATTATAAAAACTTCTTTTACTGCTGTGCTAACGCTTCAAATTGGTTAAGGCTACCCGCTCCTAACAGTTTCATGCTCTTAGAATACAGCAATGCCAAATGCCAAGTTATATAATGTATTTTGTGTATTCCAGGGCTATTTTCCTCTTCCTTCCAGGATAGCATAAGCATTTTTTATTTACTTGCTGTGCATTTTGGGCTGGGTCAGCTAACGGGGAGACTTTAGACTTGACTGATCATTTCCATCTCACTCTGCCACCCCTTTTGTCCCCACTTATTTATGGAGACCCTGTCATTTAA